AGGTGACTCCATCCGTCCAGGCATTGCACCTGACCGAGGTGGAGTTTATTGCAGTCGTCTCTGGCATACCCAGCACGTGTAAATTACTGGGCCTGGGTTAGACTCTATGCCAGCCCTGAGCAGAAGGGTACGGAGAAGATGTAGCCCTAGAATCAAGCAACGTTTCGAGCCTTAACCGCCAAAATAACGTAAGCGACACTTTTTTCAAAATTTTCTTTTTGATGCAGAAATATTCCTAGAGCATCTAGATGCATTTCTGCATCAAAAAGAAAATTTTGAAAAAAATGTCGCTTACGTTATTTTGGCGGTTAAGGCTCGGTTTGATTTATTTCGCCGACCTAAACGGGGTTAGATCGCCGAAACAACAGCCCTTGGTCGGGTAAAACCCGAGCCATTCCGGTACGTAGAACCGGCTGTCGTGGGAATGTACCTACAGTGAAGCACAGCGGTGGTGGTGTTATGGTGTGGGGGTATATAGCCAGTGGTTGGTAACCTCGAATTTATTGACGGAATAATGGATAAGAGATTGTATCTTGATATTCTTAAGGCGAATTTAAAGCAACGTGCTCAAAAACCTGGCTTGGAAAACGTGTTTCACTTTCAACATGATAATGATCCGAAACACACCGCTGAGATAATCAAGCTATGGCTGCTATATAATGTGCCAATTGCGTACACCACCACAATCTCCAGATCACAATCCTATTGAGCTCTTGTGGGATTTATTGGAGCGCAGGATTCGGGAACACAACATTTCATCCCGACTTGAAAAGGGTCATTCTCGAAGAATGGAATAAAATTTCTTCAGAAGAGACGGCAAAACTGGAACGATCAATGCCAAAGCGGTTAACAAAAGTTTTGAAACGTAAAGGATACCCGACAAGTTATTAACAACTGATTTCCTTAATTTTGTGGTATTAGAAAAACTGTTGATTACTTTGTAAGAAAACTTTTTCTGGAGTGTTTTCTGCTAATCATGGACTCTTACTAATTTTGTTTTTGTTTTTTTATTTTAGGATTCAAAACTTTAGTTATATTGAAACTGAATTTCAACATGTAAATAAAACCTGAATTTATGTTCCAAATACTTCATTTTCAATCCGTTTTTTAAATAGTTTAATGCCCATTCTATCTGTACGCAAACTTTTTCTGACTAGTGTATCTGGTGAAGGAGAGCACTGTCGAGTAACATCATTCAGGTACGCTCATTTGGGATGTTCTCTATTTTGGGTACCGCAAGCATGTGTTCCTATTTTTCGAGTGAATGTGTGAAGTGCAGTTTGGTCGGAAACTTTGCAGCTCTCTAATACATAATAGGGTCATTTGTTTTAAGGGAATCAGGTCGAATTAACTAATGGAGATTTCGTTTCTTCCATAACATGTTGCCCTTCCCCGGTGCAAAATGTGTTTGATGTTACACTCAACCCTGAAAAAAGGCCTGTTTTTGCCTTATTGTCCTTCTCTAGCTCACGCATTTCATAATATTGTCGTTTTAAGCAACCATCTCCCCTGACAAAACTGCACAGGGCAGATAATGTGCTTTTTTTTTGCCTTAAAAGAGTGACATTTTAAGAAAGGAATCCACAATTTTCACACCTTTTGCCTTTAATTTAGAATCAAAGGCAACATTTCTTGGTAGAAACGAAACCACCATAACTTTTTGCGGTTGATTAGGGAGGCGTCTTATAAATTGATAAATAAAAAATATATTTTTAAGTTATTTGCTGTTAAAATTTATTAAGTTGTTCCAATTGATTTCCTTATCAAAAAGTACGTTGATCACATACATTACAACGATGTGAACATAATTGCTCCTAGTAGGCTAATAACCTTTTCAGATGGCTACACCCCGAGATTGAAAAATATAATTATAAATTTTTCAGTTTTGTTGGTTTTTATTATTGTTTCTTAACAAAACTTTAACTTAATAAACAATTCTTTAACGCTGGAAGGTCATGCTTATTTTGAGATTTTTTTCTTACAGCCTATGTGAAAACATCAAAGAAATAATAAAAAAATAATTTAATAATTATTTTTGAGCAAAAATAATTATTAAATTATACTCAACGGCCAATAAGCAACACACTAAAAAAATAATGTAAGTATAATTAGTTGAATTGAGTATGTATAATTTTTCATAACAGTGATTTTAAATCGCACCATACGCAAAATTTTAGTTGCAAACCAAGCGTGACTTTCCAGGGTTAAAGGCACAAAAGTACGCTTTCTTAAAAGCGTCCTCAATGCAACAGTATGCTAGATAAACACACTTTAGAGAAACACACATTAGCTACCATTTGGCATTGATGTGGTCGCATATAAAATGGTGGCGCGAGTCGGTATGCTTTGACCTTGCACGGAACGAGTCTGTACTTGCCAAAGCCAGAGCGGATTGGTTATCGCACGTAATTTGGATTGGTTGGCCAAGTTGTTTTATCCAGATTGCTTCTTGTACAGCCGAGGATAATACCATGTACTCGGCCAGTACAAGTACGCCAAGTACGAGATTTTCCGTGTTTTGCATTGAACCGACTGACACCATTTACATCGAAATTCACCGCAACCATCGGGTGTATATCTTCCAACAATTCGCTTCACAGAAAAGCAGTTACAGCATCTAACTGGTCAATTTTGAGCGACAGCTTAACTGAACGTTAAAAAACGTATTGATGTGTATGGGACTACGAGGGAAAAAGTTCCATGGTAATCTATTACTGGCTGCTGTGAATAGCCCTTTGCTACAAGGCGTGCTTTCTGGCGAAATACGTTGCTATTCTCATCGCGTTTGGAATCAATTGACTACTTCGATTTAATTGCTCTATGCTTATCAGGCAGTTTGCGTATGGTCCAGGTTTTGTTTTGCACATGAGAGTTCATCTCAAACTGCATGGCTAACTTCCAATATCGTATTGATGATGTCTCCATGAACCTCGTAAATCTGAGTGGATAAGCTGCAATAATTCGCTAGCGCGCGTCCCCGGATGTTTAAATGACAGTCGTGACAATTTTCCTTTATAACAGGACTCGTAATTTGCAATATTATTGTTGTTATTTAGTTTGCATAAATCATTATACCCACCTATTATGAATTCGTACGATGCACGATAAACGCTTGCATTCTGTTATTCTCTATTACTAATCGATGTTGTCGTATAAATTCCGATAGTTAGTGTAGCTAATTTATGCTGGTTCACAATAAAAAGTGAACAAAAATCACAGCCATTCACAACAATACATCTATCGGGCTTATGAAAACGATAATACGAGAAATCACGACACGCTTGCAAGCGTTTATCGTCTATCGTATGAAAATTCATAATAGGGGGGGATAGTTTAACGCTTTCCGTTGATTATATGGCTGCTACTGAAATGCGACTGATTGACTCTCCTTTCATCTTTTTCATTTTGTATTTATCCTATTTTCTTTGGATAGTTTTTTAGTGGCATTCTAGAAATTAGTTGTAACAAAATAAGTTTTTATAGTGTTTTTCGAGTTTTAGTGCTGTGACTACCCCACAGGTAAAACTCGAAATTCGAAAACTCACAGTTTATAAATGTGATAACCAGAATACTTTTTAAAATCAAAACCAATCTTTTTTGTTTATATTTTGCTGAGACCAACTGAATTTAACTTAGTATTTTAATTGTTTATTTTTATGGTTTTAACAATTTTTACAAATTTGTGGTGCCCTGTCAAATATATCCGGCAAGCTATAACTTTTGAACAATAAGCTTTCCACAAAAAAAAATATTTTTCTTATCTTCAGGATGTTGACTTTTCGTGAAATAAAAACTTTTAGATTTTTACGTGAAATTTTTTCGACACGGAAAGGGTTAAGTGGCCGAGGCGACGATGCCATATCATTATACTCGTTTCTGCATTGACGAGCGTACAAGAACGCGATTGAACATTCAATTTGTAAACGCCTGCAGAGGCATTGACTTCGGCCACAAGACCACCATTTCCATCATATATTTTTCATTGCCCTTTGGTAACTTTGTTCGCGTTTTGAAGAATTCGCGAAACTGACAATAAGTTAGAGGTCAGTTAAGGAACGACTAGCACTTGTTTCATTTCAATTTCAGTGTGCTTAATTTTAACGTTTAGCTTAATGTTACCGATACCTTCAACACTTATTCTCTCATTATTTGCCGTTACTATTTCGCATATTTACGACAAGTTCAAGCAGCTGAAATTATATTTATATGGTGTCATGTGCTTTGAAGCTCCACTGTCAAAGTATGGCTTTAGACGATGTGTGAGCGCAAAAAGCCACTTTCACAACGGTATCGTCGCTTGATTTTTGTCAAGGCTTTTTATGCTCATTGCAAGCACTACTAAAATGGCATTTGCGCCCGCAATTATAGCATTTTAGTTTTTAATTGTTAAGTTTTGGGTATTTTTTCTTCACATTTAAACGGGCACTTCCACCATTTGGAATTTTTTCATAGTCTCCATCTAAGGGGTTACTTTTAATGTTTTCACCTGTTATTTTCGTTTCGCTACTTTCTATACCCATTATAAACGGCTAAAAATCGTCACTTAAACCTGCCAACATTATCGCTCCTAGCCACTCGTCGCTTATATCAAAACCAATTCTAGGCAGTTTATTTGCAGTGTTGACGAGCTCATTTACATAATTTGGCATTGATTCACAACTTTCGAGGCGCGCTGTGCTCAGCTTTCGCAATAAACTTATTTTTCGTGTGACTCCGGTGTCTTCGTATAAATGCTGAAGTGTTTTCCAGATATCAGCTGTCGTCTTCTGATTTTGTATATGACACCCCTATTGCGAGTGTCGACTGGCAGTAGATAAACGACTATTAAGCGATTATCGATTATCGATGCTATTGTGAGTGTCGCTTAGTCGCTCAATGAGCGACTGAATAGTTTTTAATCGCTTATCCTTCTACTGCTATTTTTGAGTCGATAGAGTTTGAGTGAACAAAATTTTCGTGATATAAATAAATAAATAATGGATAAAAAGTAAGTTATTTGCATCAAAAGCTGTACAAAAATTTACTTACATATGTGTGTGAATTGTAGATCAAAAGTGGTTAGCAATAAGAAGCAATTTGGGCGGCTGGTCCAGCTGATGCAGGACAATCAGGACTTGGCGAAAGGAATTTGCGGCAAGACTCGGGGAAAGCCCAGATGGGAAGCCATAGCCGTAGAGCTGAACAGCTTGGGACCACCACTACGTTCATGGGAAAAGTGGTTAAAGGTGAAATAAATACATATCTATTAAGCTTTAATTAATAAAATAATCCGGTATATTTTGATGTAGGTTTGGACAGATTTAAAGAGCAAGACGGAAAAGAAAATTTCGGAAAACAGGGCAGAATTTCGTGCAACTGGTGGGGGCCCAAACAGTCTGCACATTCTCACGCCACTGGAGGAAGGGGTGGCAAGTTTTTTAAGGTACGATATTTGTTCGGACCCACCAGGTCAAGAAATCGGACACAATGCAATTGTTCAATCGGAGGAAATCCCAGAGGAGCAGGTAGCTTGTGGTAGTGATTACATCGCAATATCTGGGGAAGATTGTGAAATGCGTGAAACCCAGGAGACCGAAATTTCTGAAGTGCATCGTACTCCAAGAAGAAGAAAAGTTGCCAATTCTACTGCAAATGATAAGAGAATTGCATTACTAGAAACGAAGTAAACAACCAAGCGAAGCATTTTGAGGCAATGGAAGAAAGTGCAAATAATATAAAAAAGAGCCTGAAGTACATAGAAAGTTCTGTAAGGAAGTCATACAACCTTCAAAAAGAAAATCTGGCTATAGCGAAAGAGAAACTAGAATTAAAAAAACAAAAACTAATGCTTCTTAAAGAAGAGGTTGCAAATAAAACAGACATAGAACTGAGAAACTCAAACTAAAAGTTCAACTATTGCAGCTGCAAAAAGAATACGTTTCCTCGTTAATTTTGTAAGTATACATTTAAGACTTAAAGGCAAACTTTGTGATTTTAAATTTAACTGAAACGGTAACATACAGTCCTTTGCAAAAGTGTGCAACAAAATTCTACTTAATTTATTTTGTCATCTAATTTTACTGATTTATTTTAAATTATTTTTTTTATAAAAGTTAAGTTCTTTTTATATCAGGTTTTTGCATATATCATAAACTATACAAATCAAAGTTTCTAACTTTGTACAAACCTCACAACATTTGATATAAAAAAATATTAAAATTTTCAAATTTTTACCAGAATTTTTAATAACTTTTTGGGTATTCAGTTTTGAAGCATTTTAATCTTAAATATAATTAAAGTGCAATTTTGAAGTGACTTAAAATTAGCGTTGGTAAATTTCAGACACTTCAAACTTGCACTTTATTATTATAAAATTAAATATGCTACAAAACTGAATACCTAAATAGTTGATAAAAGGTTTGAAATTTTGATGAACTTTTTTTAAATTTGTTAAATGTTATGAGTTTTGTACAAAGTTGCAAACTTTGATTTGTATAGTTTATCATATAGAACAGCCTGATATAAAATGAACATTAGTTTTATAAAAAATAATTAAAAATAAATCAGTAAAAGTAGATGACAAAATAAATTAAGTACAATTTCGTTGCATACTTTTGCACAACAAGGTATGTTATCATTTCAACTAAATTAAAAAAGAAAACCACGTTTAGGTTCAATTTTTAAGTAATACTTACTATAGTTTTTAAAAAGTATTTTGCAATGACTGAATTTAATTGAAAATGAAATGAGCTGTGAAATTCCTATTTTATTTTTTAAAATGTGAAATATTATTTATTATTTACTTTAAATATATATGTACTTAAAAGTACTTAGCTTTTACCTTCAAAATGAAAATACGTATGTATGAATGTATATGAATGTATTTATGTGTTGGACTTATACTAATATGTGAGCATATCATGGGTCAAAAATACATGCTATATATAATATACTTATTTATAATACAGGACGGATATATGTATATTAATGTTAGTAGATTTCGTTTACGACAAAAAGAATAGCTGTCATTCTACTAATTCTGATAAGGTGATAATGATAAATAACTATTCTTCATCCGGTGCGGTGAATAAATTAAATATATATTTCCAAAATATCTCTGGCATGCGTACAAAAAGTAAGGATATTTTTCTAGCAACGACACGGTGTGAGTTTGATGTCTTTGTACTTGTGGAAACATGGCTTAATAATGATTTTTTTGATAGGGAATTTTTTGATCCACTTTTGTTTGAGACTTATCGTAAGGATCGTGATTCCGATAAGACGGGTTTATTCAGAGGTGGTGGTGTTTTAATAGCGATAAGACGCACTTTGCGTTCTTCTATGATTCAACTTTGTAATAGTGATTCCTTACTCGATCAATTATGTGTTTGCATTTTTGGCGATTTTGGTAAAGTATTTTTCTGTGTTTCATATATACCACCTAATAGTGATGAATCTTTATACAATTCACATGTAAATAATATTGTTAACATCTGTGAAAGGAATTTAGAAAGCCATTTCTGTATTCTTGGTGATTTTAACCTTAATAAAATTATTTAGTCTAACTTCTTAGACAAAAATATACTCACTCCTACTAATATTAACTATTCTCATGAGATCAATTTTCTTGATAGCTTATTTAGTGTCAATCTTATCCAAATTAATTATCTGCCTAATAGACTGAATAATATTTTAGATCTTGTCTTTGTTGACGAGAACCTAAGTTTCAATTTAGATGAGTGTGAATTTCCACTCTGTAGCCCGGACATGCACCATGTTCCTCTCTCAATAACTCTAGAAGTGCTAAATTTTAGCCCAGTTTCTCTCAATGAACCGCGCACTTATGACTTTGGAGGAGTTAACTTTGAAGACTTGAATGCTAGGCTTTTGGATGTAAACTGGGAAAGTCTCTTCAACTCGAAATCAGTCTCTGAATGTTTTGATATTTTTCTTATTAACGTTTTAGAAGTAGTTTGCAACATCGTACCTGTACGCCCCGCCCGTATACACAAACTCCCCTGGTATACAAGAAACCTAAAAAGGCTTAAAAATAAGCGAAATAAATATTTTAACCTGCACAAATCCACTGGTAATTGTAATTTTAAAGATGAGTATAGTCGACTTTCAAGAGAGTTTAATGCTCTTGATAAACAGTTATACAATCAATACATCGCTCGGTATGAAGTTGAACTCAAATCCAACCCGAAATCTTTCTGGAATTTCATACGTTCAAAAAAAGGTTGCACAAACATTCCCACTTGTGTGACTTTTGGTGATAAGCATTCTCAGTGTTTATCTGATACCGCTAATTTATTTGCTGATTTTTTTAGCTCAAATTTTGTCCATGACTGTGGAAGCGCCTCAAATACCAGTTGTTCTCCAAGTTCTCTTGACCTTGGGACATTGTCGGTATCTAAGTTTGATATTATGTACAGCATTTCTTTACAGTCCTCAACAAAAACAGATTTGGATGTTTTTCCCCATTTTTACTAAAAAAGTGCAGTTCCTCTCTCAGTGTGCCTTTAAAGCATATTTTTAATCTTTCCCTTGCCAAAGGGGATTTTATTGATCGGTGGAAAGTTGCATCAGTTTCACCGATGTTCAAATCTGGTAATACTAATGATGTACGAAACTATAGCCCTATTTCTAAACTCACCACCTGCTCAAAACTTTTTGAAAAGGTGGTGAAAGATAAATTGTATTTCTTTGTAAAAGAAATAATTGATCCGCATCAGCATGGGTTTGTCTGCAGTCGCTCCACAGTTACAAACCTTGCTGAATTTTCCCAATATTGCATCTCAGCCTTTAAATCTTGTCATCAAGTCGATGTTGTTTACACAGACTTTTTGAAAGCTTTCGATACTGTTGTACATAGCATTTTGTTATTGAAGTTAGAAGAGCTTGGTTTCCACTCTCTTCTTTCTTGGTTAAACTCTTATCTGTCTAACCGAGTCTCATATGTTGAAATTAGTCATGCTAAATCGTACCCCTTCGTTGCCACTTCTGGTGTGCCTCAGGGTAGTATTCTTGGCCCTTTGCTATTTCTACTTTTTATTAATGATATTAAAACTTGTTTTAGTACTTCAAAGTTCTTACTCTATGCAGATGATTTAAAAATTTTTAATGTAATTACCTGTTTATCAGACACATTATCATTGCAAGGCGATCTAAATAAGCTATCTGATTGGAGTGTGAGAAATAAACTGTCGCTCAACATAAAGAAATGCTTCCAAATGACTTTTGCTAAAATTGCAAATCCAATTGTCACTACTTACACTATTTCTAACACCTGACTATCTAACGTACATGAATATCTAGATTTAGGTGTGGTTTTCGACTCAGGCTTCACCTTTGTCAATCACATCAATCATATTATACCTAAGGCAAATTCTAACTTGGGCTTCTTGCGTCGTTATGCGCGTGATTTTAAAGACCCATACACTAGAAAATCACTCTATAATTGCCTAGTAAGATCAAAGTTAGAGTATGCCTCAGTAATCTGGAACCCTATTTACTCTTTACATTCTGACAGGATCGAAAGAATTCAACGCCGATTTACCCGGTTTTCTCTGCAACCTCTTCATTTTGATGAGCCATTCCCATCGTATGAGGCCCGTTGCCTTTTAATTAACCTTAAATCGCTTAAGTCAAGGCGCATAATGCACTCTCTCATGTTTGTTTATGATATAATTTCTAGCATGATAAATTCCCCTAACCTTTTCGAGCAAATTGGCTTTAATGTACCCCAAAGGGTCCTACGTACTCAACTTCCGTTTCATGTTAAAACGCTTAGATCGAACTATTTATTGTTTGCACCCATCACAAGGTCGCTTTTGGAATTCAATCGAATTTTTACAACTCTCGATCTAGATTTTGCTCAGTCCAGATCCATATTTTTGGCTAAATTGCAATCAATTTATTTTTAAGTGTTATTAAATTTTATCTTTAAGAAAATTTGTATTTCTAGTCTGTAAGGTTTTGTAACCATTGACTGAATAAATGAAATGAAATGAAATATATGTATGATGTCGGACGAATTAATAGGGTCGCGACGTTATAAGAAGTTTTGACTATTTCGTTTGTTTGTTTAGTATAATAAACGGCAATTTTTAAGTTTTAACTTGCACGTTATTGTATTAAAATTTAATTTGCTACAAAAAATAATTTAAATACTATTTTTATTTCTGATAAAGTTTGAAATTTCGTTGAAACTGCAGTTATTATAATTTTTTCACAAAGTCTGATATTAGGATTTATATAGTTTTTGTTACATATATACTATACTTTTATAAAAAGTTAATTAATATTAAACAAACAAAAGAAATAGTCAGAACTTGTCAAAATGTCGCGACCCTATTAATTTGTACACATGAGGCTATTTTTTTAACAATGGCCAAATTTAGTTGAAAATGAAGATTTTTTGTTAATGTTTACGATTATTCTTTAAGCAGTAGGTATTTATCAATATTCAATTTTTAACATTTTATGTTACATTAATTTTAATTTAAACTTGAATTACCTGAATTATAACAAATTAATAAAAGTTAAAAAAACTGAGCTTCAATGAATACGTACAAACAATAAAAAAAAAGATTTAAGACTGAAGTCGCATATGTTGTAAAATGTTATTTCTTATTTCTACGGCTTCTTGATTTATATGGCCAGCTTGAACAATGATGTCACCTTGATCTTCATAGTTTTCTGGGTCTTGGCTATCATAAATTTCTTCATTCGAAGACTACATTGTAAAAAATGCATATATTGTGCAGTGCTACACAAACGTTTATTATTTGGGTGGCCTTCTTTGGCTCATAGTGCAGCGCACGAGCACCTAACAAACACCTAAACCGATTTTTCAACACCCCAATCGTGCGTTCCACAATATTCCTAGCTTTTGCATGCCTTTTGTTAAATATACCTTGCACTCCGTCATCGGGGTTCCGGAATGGAGTAAGCATATACGGCTGTAAAGCATATCCTGCTTCACCTAAAAATTATATACAAATTTGTGTAAAAGCCATCGAAATGTCCAAT